ACTCAAAAATTTCACTAAAATTAAAAGTCGTATAATTTAGCTGATAACGTTACATAATACTATAAAACTAATATTTTTACAGAACTATTATCTGACATTTTCTCACTTGAGGAACATCAATTGTCTAGGCAACGCACAATCAGAATAATATACGGGCTTTGTTGGTTGATAGTTAATCAGTTAAAAAGTAGGTTACGTAACTGAATAATTTCACCACGGAGATAATATTTGATAAAACGAAACTATTGTCCCTGTTGAGTTTTGCTTGTCTTCAAAAAGGTGTTATTGAATGATTATTTTTTGTTAGATTTCTTGAAAAAATAGTTAGCTGTTTTGACAAAACATTTAATTGAATTAATTTCAGACAAAGATATCACCAATATTTTAGTTATGTTTTATTATACGTCATAACGAAAACGTTACAAAATTAAATCTCACTTATGGACAATGTAATATAAAATATAATTTTGTTTGGTTATTTTAGGTAACATTATAAAATTATCTCTAGTTATAATACATGGATTTATTAATGTCATACCTATAGTTTTATCAACGTAGAAACAATAGAAAATTCTAAAAAACAAATAAATACGGGTAAATTGTTTGGGAGTGCAATTTTAACGTTTGTTAATCAAACCAGTATTGCAAAGTTGGTCACACATGTGTTATTTATTTTTCTCCTAAACTTAGTTGAAAAAAAAAACAATAAACAAATGTAAATGTATACCAACTCCTTTGCACTATAGTCGAAGCATTTGTATGTAATTTTGTTAACTCCTTTTTACAATTTTCGTCTTTTACAGAAAATAGTATTCATTTATATTTAATGGGTTTTACGGTTTGTCTTAGGAAAACAAAGATCAATATAACTTAAATATGAAAAGCTAGATCTCCACTCTTTTCTTCGTGTTTAATTAGCTTGTTTGGGCGTATATTGGATTATACTTTTACCAACTCATATTGCAATAGTAAAGTGATTAGGCATAGCTATCACATTAGTTTTAAATATTATGCCATGTTTATGTAAATACAACCATGATGGTAGGCTAATGTTGCTTAAAGGGTTATTACAGACACTTTTCATCACACATGTAAAACACTCTACCCAACGTTTCAGCATCTAAAAACTCATCTCGTACACAAATGAGAAAAAACTTAACACATTGTAACATTGTAACTTAACATATTGTACAACTAACAATACACAAACTCCAACCTAAGTTGGAATACACTTCAGAGAACATTCAAGTATAGGCTATCCACTGTATAGCAGTCAAGTCATGATCCTAAATGCAAAATACAACAAATCAAAACACAACAAAATCTAAAATGTAATAAAAGAAAAAAATAAGATATGTGGTTTCAGCTGTTAGCCTATGATAAATACATAATACAATAAAGTTAAAATAAAGTTAAAATAAAGTTATATGATAACTAAAAAGTGAGAAATAGTGACAAGTTCTCACACAATATCTTTCGTCAAAGTTTGGCAATTTTTGGTGCAGGTTTTGCCTTTTTTGAGCTGTCATTGGTTGGAGGAATAAAAATAACTTTAGATGAACGGGATTTTATTTCTTCCACGGTCAACGTTCAATTAAATATGCATTCTCATATACAGTCAATTTAAATATAATTTCAAAATATAATTGCTTTATTTTTCTTGAAAAACAATCTTTCTTTTATTTTCATTATAATTTTTCTATATTTTAAGAAATATATGGGGTTTTGTAGAACTATTTAGTTTTAATTATTGAAAAGTCAAGTAACATTACTGTGCGCAAAACCTATACAAACAATTGATTGCAAAGAAGATGCTTTGTTCTCAACCACAGTTTATTTATCTTTCATATTGTCCCACTTATGTTCGTATTTTAACTAACTATGAATGTAGAATGAAGTATTCACCTTTCCAAGTCGATGTCAGTACTGATCACGATACCGTTACAATCGACACGTAACTAGTCTAAACCTTGTTAATAATTTTAAAATAAACTAACTACAATTCCTTCTATAAAAAAAAAAATAATAATTAAAAATTTATTTAAAAAAACTTGTATTCGGTTTAAAAAATATTCTTTCCAAGCTAGAGATGTCTGATATGTCTAAAATAGGTCAAATTGTTATGAAGTTTATGTGCAGTTTTATTTTATTGAATGCTACAGAGAGTAAAATGATGATTTAGTTCAGAAAGCGTTTTATACTCAGATTTATAAGTTCCGCTCGAGCTTTAATAGTTTATGAAGCAATATAGCATTTAATAAGTTTATACCATAGCATACCGTGAATTTAAAGAACCAAATTCTATCAAACTGTGTCCACTCCCATTGAAAACACAAAGCTTGAGTATAACTGCAATACGCATTTTACACCTATATGCCAACCGCGTACAAAGGACGGATACTCTGCTATTAAATAAATAAATAAAGCAAATAACTCAAAACAACATTCGATAACTTCCATTCACATAATAGTGCAGCTTGATTATCAGCATACTTGTAATTCCTTAGCATCCAGAACCTAGAAATTTTCAAATATATTTCCATCCCTGTTTTATTTATCAGTTAACTAAACCTGTAAAAACATGAAGAAATAAGGGTTCACTAACTTAATCCGTTACCAAAGACACCACTGTCGAGTATAATTATTTATCTCATACGGCAACACCCAGTCGTAAATATCCATTACTTTCAAAAGATATAAGAAATCATCGCGGCCAATTGTATCATTGTTTGAAAGATTGGTATATCAACCGCATACTCCTCAGTGTTGTTTGCATACACATTCCTTTCACAGGGTAGGTAGACAATAAGAAGCGATTGTTGTATAATAAATTTATTCCTGAAAGACGAATATATACAAATAAGAATCCTTGTCCCTGGATCAAGTGTGTTAGGTAAAATATTTGATAAACTTGTGTTTCAGCAAATCTCTAGTTATATTTGTGATATTAATAAGTTGTATAAATACCGATCAGGCTATAGTTTTAACTATAGCACCCATACTGCATTGGTGTCAATAACTGATGATGTAAGAAGAGCAATGGACAGTCGTGAAGTTACTATTATGGTTTTGTTAGATTTTTCTCGTGCTTTTGATAGTGTCCATCATAAAATGTTACTGGCATTTATGAGATCTTTTTCTTTTAGTGATAGCGTTGTTAGTTGGTTCGAATCATATTTATCAGATAGACAACAAAGAGTTAGAACTAGTAAAGGTTCATTGTCAGAATGGAAGTGCAATCCCATTGGCTCTACCTTGTCTGCAATGTTATTTTCTCTATACATCATTAAAATTTGCGATTCATTGGTTTTTACTAAATCTATTCTCTGCGCAGATGATTTTCAATTGTATTTACATGCTCCTGTTAAAAATATTAATAATGCTATTGATATGTTAAACACTGATTTGGACACTTAATTAGAGTGTTGCAATGGTCATGACCTAAAACTAAATATAAATAAATAAATATAATTTTAGGTACTAGCAGACTATTGAACACAATAGATTTGGAAGTGGTCCCTAAAGTAATGATAGATAACAATGCTTTAGAGTATCAAACTACTTTTAAAAACTTAGGTTTAAGAATGATGAACAGCTTATCATGGTCCGAACAAGCTAGTTACATACACAGAAAGGTATATCAGTGTTTATACCAGTTAAAGCGCATGTGCTTCAATCCCTCTGAAAAGTGAAGAAAAACTTTAATTTTAACATTGGTTTTTTCCCATTTTTGATTATGATAGTGTAGCTTTTTGTGATATCAGTAATGCTCTGTTAACTAAACTTTAGAGAGCACAAAACGCTTGTATTAGATTTTTTTAGATTACAATTACATGAACACGTGACAGAATATTGTAAAAGATTAAATGTCCCGAAGGTTAAAGAGCGATTAGAATATAATACTCTCGTCTTAGCTCATAAAACAATTAAAAGACACGAACCAATGTATTTATTTGAGAATTATAGATTTATGAGGAATGTTCATCTTAGACAGACACGTTTTGGTGATAATATTTTACATTTTACTAGACACAAGACAGTCATATATACTAATTCTTTCCATGTTCATCAATCAATACGTTTGTTAAATTCCCTCAATGATGAAGTTAAAAAGTAGTATTAGTGACAAGATTTTCGCAAAAAGACTCAAAGCTAAACTCTTAGAAAAATATAGTTTGTAAGATGTTCAATATAAACATGTTTATAATAAGAATCCTGACAATTTGTTTTCTTTTTTTTGTATCTATATATAGTATACTAAACATAGTTGGGTTTCTTTTTCTTTTACAGTCCAATTGTATAAAATAGTGTGTTTGTATTATAGCTACAACATTTCATTAAACAACTTGTGAATAAAAAAAAAATCGGCATTGTAATAAATATTTTATTGAGTGTAACCACAACAATGTATTGTAATGTGTTTTTTGTGCCTGTTGTGATGGAAGATTGGACCATCGAGGTCTAAATCAAAGCAGGTGAAATAAAGAAATGTCAATTGTCAAAATGTCTCTCTCTCTCTCTCTCTCCCTCTCTCTCTCCCCCTCCCATTCTCTCTCTCTAATAGTAATATATGAAGAGTGAATTTTGATATTCACTCTTTTTCATTTCTTATCGTCATACTTTCATTACAACATTTTAGCCAAGAATTAAATAGTATCCTGTTTTATTATAATTAATTTTAATCACAACGTAAAAAATATTTAATTTTTTGAAATTTTTTATGCGGCTGCCGGTGGTGGCATTGCGCGATAAGACAACGCGTTACGCGTAAGGGTAACGCGTTACTCTTTCGCGTTATTCTTTCGCGTTACTCTCTCGCGTAATGCGCTTCGCGGAAGTTATACATTAAAATGTGCTGGCTCGATTTTTGGAAGTATTTTCCGTAACGCGTTACTCTTACGCATTTCGCGTTCCTCTTACGCGCGGATGCGTTTCGCGGAAGTCTTGAGCGTTTCAAGATTTTGTAGTAAAATAAATGGTAAAAAAAAACAAAATAAATTTTAATCCGCATTCCACAGTGATGTGGAACTCACAGGGAGATAAGGGGTGTCTACATCGCCCCTTCCCTCGCTACCCTTGCCACCTGTGTCAAGAGATTAACGTTGTCTAGACTAGGTGATTGATGCGTGGGACAGCAAAATAGAGGGCTTGTGAAATGCATTTCGCGGAAGTCTTACATACACTTTTGCGTTACTCCTACGCGCGGGCGCGTTTCGCGGAAGTCTTAAGCGTTAAGCATTTCGCGTTACTCTTTCGCGTTACTTTTTCGCGTTACTCTTACGCGTTACTCTTTCGCGTAATGCATTACCCTTACGCGTAACGCGTTGTCTTATCGCGCAATGCCACCACCGGCAGCCGCATAAAAAATTTCAAAAAATTAAATATTTTTTACGTTGTGATTAAAATTAATTATAATAAAACAGGATACTATTTAATTCTTGGCTAAAATGTTGTAATGAAAGTATGACGATAAGAAATGAAAAAGAGTGAATATCAAAATTCACTCTTCATATATTACTATTAGAGAGAGAGAATGGGAGGGGGAGAGAGAGAGGGAGAGAGAGAGAGAGAGAGACATTTTGACAATTGACATTTCTTTATTTCACCTGCTTTGATTTAGACCTCGATGGTCCAATCTTCCATCACAACAGGCACAAAAAACACATTACAATACATTGTTGTGGTTACACTCAATAAAATATTTATTACAATGCCGATTTTTTTTTTATTCACAAGTTGTTTAATGAAATGTTGTAGCTATAATACAAACACACTATTTTATACAATTGGACTGTAAAAGAAAAAGAAACCCAACTATGTTTAGTATACTATATATAGATACAAAAAAAAGAAAACAAATTGTCAGGATTCTTATTATAAACATGTTTATATTGAACATCTTACAAACTATATTTTTCTAAGAGTTTAGCTTTGAGTCTTTTTGCGAAAATCTTGTCACTAATACTACTTTTTAACTTCATCATTGAGGGAATTTAACAAACGTATTGATTGATGAACATGGAAAGAATTAGTATATATGACTGTCTTGTGTCTAGTAAAATGTAAAATATTATCACCAAAACGTGTCTGTCTAAGATGAACATTCCTCATAAATCTATAATTCTCAAATAAATACATTGGTTCGTGTCTTTTAATTGTTTTATGAGCTAAGACGAGAGTATTATATTCTAATCGCTCTTTAACCTTCGGGACATTTAATCTTTTACAATATTCTGTCACGTGTTCATGTAATTGTAATCTAAAAAAATCTAATACAAGCGTTTTGTGCTCTCTAAAGTTTAGTTAACAGAGCATTACTGATATCACAAAAAGCTACACTATCATAATCAAAAATGGGAAAAAACCAATGTTAAAATTAAAGTTTTTCTTCACTTTTCAGAGGGATTGAAGCACATGCGCTTTAACTGGTATAAACACTGATATACCTTTCTGTGTATGTAACTAGCTTGTTCGGACCATGATAAGCTGTTCATCATTCTTAAACCTAAGTTTTTAAAAGTAGTTTGATACTCTAAAGCATTGTTATCTATCATTACTTTAGGGACCACTTCCAAATCTATTGTGTTCAATAGTCTGCTAGTACCTAAAATTATATTTATTTATTTATATTTAGTTTTAGGTCATGACCATTGCAACACTCTAATTAAGTGTCCAAATCAGTGTTTAACATATCAATAGCATTATTAATATTTTTAACAGGAGCATGTAAATACAATTGAAAATCATCTGCGCAGAGAATAGATTTAGTAAAAACCAATGAATCGCAAATTTTAATGATGTATAGAGAAAATAACATTGCAGACAAGGTAGAGCCAATGGGATTGCACTTCCATTCTGACAATGAACCTTTACTAGTTCTAACTCTTTGTTGTCTATCTGATAAATATGATTCGAACCAACTAACAACGCTATCACTAAAAGAAAAAGATCTCATAAATGCCAGTAACATTTTATGATGGACACTATCAAAAGCACGAGAAAAATCTAACAAAACCATAATAGTAACTTCACGACTGTCCATTGCTCTTCTTACATCATCAGTTATTGACACCAATGCAGTATGGGTGCTATAGTTAAAACTATAGCCTGATCGGTATTTATACAACTTATTAATATCACAAATATAACTAGAGATTTGCTGAAACACAAGTTTATCAAATATTTTACCTAACACACTTGATCCAGGGACAAGGATTCTTATTTGTATATATTCGTCTTTCAGGAATAAATTTATTATACAACAATCGCTTCTTATTGTCTACCTACCCTGTGAAAGGAATGTGTATGCAAACAACACTGAGGAGTATGCGGTTGATATACCAATCTTTCAAACAATGATACAATTGGCCGCGATGATTTCTTATATCTTTTGAAAGTAATGGATATTTACGACTGGGTGTTGCCGTATGAGATAAATAATTATACTCGACAGTGGTGTCTTTGGTAACGGATTAAGTTAGTGAACCCTTATTTCTTCATGTTTTTACAGGTTTAGTTAACTGATAAATAAAACAGGGATGGAAATATATTTGAAAATTTCTAGGTTCTGGATGCTAAGGAATTACAAGTATGCTGATAATCAAGCTGCACTATTATGTGAATGGAAGTTATCGAATGTTGTTTTGAGTTATTTGCTTTATTTATTTATTTAATAGCAGAGTATCCGTCCTTTGTACGCGGTTGGCATATAGGTGTAAAATGCGTATTGCAGTTATACTCAAGCTTTGTGTTTTCAATGGGAGTGGACACAGTTTGATAGAATTTGGTTCTTTAAATTCACGGTATGCTATGGTATAAACTTATTAAATGCTATATTGCTTCATAAACTATTAAAGCTCGAGCGGAACTTATAAATCTGAGTATAAAACGCTTTCTGAACTAAATCATCATTTTACTCTCTGTAGCATTCAATAAAATAAAACTGCACATAAACTTCATAACAATTTGACCTATTTTAGACATATCAGACATCTCTAGCTTGGAAAGAATATTTTTTAAACCGAATACAAGTTTTTTTAAATAAATTTTTAATTATTATTTTTTTTTTTTATAGAAGGAATTGTAGTTAGTTTATTTTAAAATTATTAACAAGGTTTAGACTAGTTACGTGTCGATTGTAACGGTATCGTGATCAGTACTGACATCGACTTGGAAAGGTGAATACTTCATTCTACATTCATAGTTAGTTAAAATACGAACATAAGTGGGACAATATGAAAGATAAATAAACTGTGGTTGAGAACAAAGCATCTTCTTTGCAATCAATTGTTTGTATAGGTTTTGCGCACAGTAATGTTACTTGACTTTTCAATAATTAAAACTAAATAGTTCTACAAAACCCCATATATTTCTTAAAATATAGAAAAATTATAATGAAAATAAAAGAAAGATTGTTTTTCAAGAAAAATAAAGCAATTATATTTTGAAATTATATTTAAATTGACTGTATATGAGAATGCATATTTAATTGAACGTTGACCGTGGAAGAAATAAAATCCCGTTCATCTAAAGTTATTTTTATTCCTCCAACCAATGACAGCTCAAAAAAGGCAAAACCTGCACCAAAAATTGCCAAACTTTGACGAAAGATATTGTGTGAGAACTTGTCACTATTTCTCACTTTTTAGTTATCATATAACTTTATTTTAACTTTATTTTAACTTTATTGTATTATGTATTTATCATAGGCTAACAGCTGAAACCACATATCTTATTTTTTTCTTTTATTACATTTTAGATTTTGTTGTGTTTTGATTTGTTGTATTTTGCATTTAGGATCATGACTTGACTGCTATACAGTGGATAGCCTATACTTGAATGTTCTCTGAAGTGTATTCCAACTTAGGTTGGAGTTTGTGTATTGTTAGTTGTACAATATGTTAAGTTACAATGTTACAATGTGTTAAGTTTTTTCTCATTTGTGTACGAGATGAGTTTTTAGATGCTGAAACGTTGGGTAGAGTGTTTTACATGTGTGATGAAAAGTGTCTGTAATAACCCTTTAAGCAACATTAGCCTACCATCATGGTTGTATTTACATAAACATGGCATAATATTTAAAACTAATGTGATAGCTATGCCTAATCACTTTACTATTGCAATATGAGTTGGTAAAAGTATAATCCAATATACGCCCAAACAAGCTAATTAAACACGAAGAAAAGAGTGGAGATCTAGCTTTTCATATTTAAGTTATATTGATCTTTGTTTTCCTAAGACAAACCGTAAAACCCATTAAATATAAATGAATACTATTTTCTGTAAAAGACGAAAATTGTAAAAAGGAGTTAACAAAATTACATACAAATGCTTCGACTATAGTGCAAAGGAGTTGGTATACATTTACATTTGTTTATTGTTTTTTTTTTCAACTAAGTTTAGGAGAAAAATAAATAACACATGTGTGACCAACTTTGCAA